AGGGTGTAGCAGAGACTCAGGGTGTAGCAGAGACTCGGGGTGTAGTAGATACTCAGGGTGTAGTAGAGACTCAGGGTCTAGTAGTGACTCAGGGTGTAGTAGAGACTCATGGTGTAGTAGAGACTCAGGGTGTAGCAGAGGCTCAGGGTGTAGCAGAGACTCAGGGTGTAGCAGAGACTCAGGGTGTAGCAGAGACTCAAGGTGTAGCAGAGGCTCACGGTCTAGTAGAGACTCAGGGTCTAGTAGAGACTCAGGGTCAAAGTAGAGACTCAGGGTCTAGTAGAGAATCAGGGTCTAGTACAGTATCGCGGCACGAGGTTTATAGAGGGCCTCGGCAGTAGGCGGGGACAGAGAAGTCGTGGTGGTGGGTGGGTGGGTGGGTAGAAAGTGACCACCTTCAAGTCACTATGAGACCACCTTCAAGTCGTCACCTCAAATCTAGACGTGTAGTCCCCCCACCGTTAACGGCAAGTGTTGCCCCGTCGTGTTCGCCAACGAATCGTGTCCAGTGCGCGCCTGGACTTTAACCCGCTCGCGCACGCCACCCTGAATTGCGCCCGGCATTGACGGAGCACGCTCAACTTTGTTCAGTGTTCTCATAGAATGAGTGAACATGTTGGCAACAACAGGAGCATCTCGGGTAGACAAAGATAAGGGTCCCCCACATAGCCTTCGCGGGCTGTAGGGCCAAGCGCTGTTGGCGAGCAGCACCCTACGAAGGCCGGCACTGTGGCAGACACCACCACGCCCGGCCGCCTTTGTCTCCCCGAGCGGCGATGTTTACTTACACACCGCACCAGGTACTCGTTTGAGGCCGAGTCGACCTAGGGGAGGCCCAGGACCGGTTCGGATAATCGTCACATACTTATACACATACTTATACAACAACAACAACCGCCATTCGCCACTAAGTGGCGGTGACGTCACCACGACGCTTGTGCCAGGCCACGTGCACCTTGAGGCCACCAGGTGAAGTGTCGAACGCCCGCTGGCAGGAGGTCACGGGGCAGACCCAGCAGGTGCCACGGGTCGACTGACTGAGACGACTGGCTGATGCACCACCTGTGCCCCCTACTGTGCCAATCTGCTGTGCTTTAGCCACCCGGCGCTCCGCTCGTTGTTGTGAGCGTCGCTCCTCCGCCCTCCGTTGTTATTGGAGGGCGACTGCCTCCAACTGCCCAGTAGCAGCGTCCTTCACGAGCCTCCTCCACAGAGGCCAATCTTGACACCGCTGGTACCAATCATCGGCAAGTCCTCTCAGCTCCACGTCCTCCTGTACCACATCACTCCATCTCTTCTCTAGCCTGTGCCGCGCCCGTTTAGCTCCCTCGATCCGGCCGAACAAAAGCTGTTTCGGCATGCGGTGGCTGGGCATGCGGGCTACATGCCCAGCCAACGCAGTCTTGCCTGCCGGAGGAGCTCACCGATGGGACCTTGCTCAGATCTTTCAAGGATTTTTGAACTCCTCACACAATCCAGTCTGGTTAAACCCAGGATGGAACGTAGGCAGGCCAGCCTAAATGTTTCCATCCGGCGAAGATGCTCCATTAGGGGGGTCCACGTTTTGCAAGCGTAGAGAACGGAGGGAATGACCGTGGCCGAGAAGACCTGAAGCTTAGTGCGGAGCGACAGACCAGGTAGCTTCCACACGGCGTTACGCAACCGATGAAAATATATATAGCAGATCTCTGCTGTTAAACTGGAGCCGGTCATAAGCACACTGTCTCCAACTCCTCCTCTGAATGAGCAGCTATTACCAAATCATCAGCATACATAACGTGATTGAGCAATAGGGAGCCATCCCTTGACCGCACCCGGGCATCGATCAGCCTCCCATTATATCTGTACCAAATGGAGATCCCCCCGGTACAGCTATTGAAGGCTTCATGAACTACGTGGTCAAAATAGATGTTAAATAATGTGGGAGCCAGAGGACATCCCTGTCGCACCCCAAGGTGTACAGGGAATGGCTCTGACTCCCGGCCACGTAGTTTTACCCGGGCCCGCTCACCATCATGAAGGTCCTTAATGATCGTGAGCAGAGGGTCAGGTACTCCAAAAGCACGAAGAACGACCCAGGGCCCAGGCCTACTGATGGTATCATAGGCCTTGACCAGGTCAATAATTATACACACTTACACACGCACTTATACGCGCACTTATACACACACTTATACACATACTTATACACACACATACACGCACTAATACACGTACTTATACACATGCTTATGCACACACTTATACACGCACTTATACACGCACTTATACACGCACACTTATACACGCACTTATACACATACTTATACACGCACTTATATACACACGCACTTATACACGCACTTATACACATACTTATACACGCACTTATATACACACACACTTATACACGCACTTATACACACACTTATACACGCACTTATACACGCACTAATACACGTACTTATACACACACTTACACACGCACTTATATACACACACACTTATACACGTACTTATACACATACTTACACACGCACTTATATACACACGCACTTACATACGCACTTACACGCGTATATAGTTCCTGCTATACCTAACCCCCGACCGTTCAAATTTCGATTTAAAGCTTTCGTGACTGCAATGATTCATCTTCTTTGGTTCTTTCGGTAAAGTCACGTAGAATGAGAATAAAATAATAAATTGATAAAATAAAATAACACGATAATATTCTCACGACGTTTCGGCCACAACACAAGCGGCCTTCATCAGGTGAAGGGACGAGACTGTCTGGTAGGACAGCGCTGGAGTGAAAGAGCCACGTTCAGATCGCGACCTTTAAGCTGTGTGAGAGGAACAAAGCGCCTTGACAAAGGAATTAGCATATAATTTAGCATTGAAATGGCTGAATGATTAGCTTGTGACTGGTCACAGAAATGGCTATGTTAAAAGTTAAAGCATACACATCCGCAGAGGCACCCCTTGTTAAAGGAATTAGCATAGAATTTAGCATTGAAATAGCTAAGTTAAAGCAAGTTCTGGACAAGGCATGCAACATTAGCGGTCATCCCCAGAAACGAGAAAGAACCCCCACCACAAGTTGAATCCCAAGCGGTCACCAAAGCTTGAAGTCGAAATTCCACCGCGCCTACGCGGAGAGATTCCGCACAAATCTTAAGATTCCCATTCCACGTGGCTTTGCCGGGAAAAAAAAAATAAACCCGGAAGTCGCCATCCTCGCTGATTGTGACAGCGATGGGTCAGTTATGGCCAAATTTTTTGCCAGCCGGGCCTCTTGAATTCACAACCTGTGCAAACAGGTCGTGCCAGGAACAAGGTTATCAGTGCTGATGATGACCTACCCATACATCACACCCACTCCACCCACTCCACCCTCCCTCCGCCGTTGATAATAAAGTCGAAGGCTTCTGGAAGCCGTAGGGGTCAGCCACAATAGCCGAGGGGATAAATCGCGGGTGGTCAAAAAGAAGAAAATAATTTTTTGTTTAAAAACAACTCCCATCATGATATTGGCGCTCCTACGGATTTTCTTAGAGCCCCTTTAGTGTCTCCGCTGGTGCTGGACCAGATGACGCCAAAAAAGGCGTACGGCTCAAAAAAAAAATCAGCGCACCATCAGAGTATCGAGGGCTCGGGGTGAGCACTTACATTATGAGACCATAGGTTTTTAACCCTTTTAGCTGGGGCAAGTGCTGTTAGCGAGTTCCTATTAAAGACCTACACACACACACACCCACAGACAAAGGTCCCCCGTATAGCCTCAACACACTGTTAGGGGGCAAGTGCTGTTAGCGAGTTCCTATTAAAGACCTACACACGCACACAGACAAAGGTCCCCCGTATAGCCTCAACAGATTGCTAGGGGGCAAGTGCTGTTAGCGAGTTCCTATTAAAGACCTACACACACACACGCACAGACAAAGGTCCCCTGTATAGCCTCAACACACTGTTAGGGGGCAAGTGCTGTTAGCGAGTTCCTATTAAAGACCTACACACACAGACAAAGGTCCCCCGTATAGCCTCAACACACTGTTAGGGGCAAGTGCTGTTAGCGAGTTCCTATTAAAGACCTACACACACACACACACGCACAGACAAAGGTCCCCCGTATAGCCTCAACAGACTGCTAGTGGCAAGTGCTGTTAGCGAGTTCCTATTAAAGACCTACACACGCACAGACAAAGGTCCCCCGTATAGCCTCAACACACTGTTAGGGGCAAGTGCTGTTAGCGAGTTCCTATTAAAGACCTACACACAGACAAAGGTCCCCCGTATAGCCTCAACAGACTGCTAGGGGCAAGTGCTGTTAGCGACTTCCTATTAAAGACCTACACACACACAGACAAAGGTCCCCCGTATAGCCTCAACAGACTGTTAGGGGGCAAGTGCTGTTAGCGAGTTCCTATTAAAGACCTACACACGCACAGACAAAGGTCCCCCGCATAGCCTCAACACACTGTTAGGGGGCAAGTGCTGTTAGCGAGCTCCTATTAAAGACCTACACACACACAGACAAAGGTCCCCCGTATAGCATCAAAAGACTGTTAGGGGCAAGTGCTGTTAGCGAGTTCCTATTAAAGACCTACACACACAGACAAAGGTCCCCCGTATAGCCTCAACAGACTGTTAGGGGGCAAGTGCTGTTAGCGAGTTCCTATTAAAGACCTACACACAGACAAAGGTCCCCCGTATAGCCTCAACACACTGCTAGGGGCAAGTGCTGTTAGCGAGTTCCTATTAAAGACCTACACACGCACGGACAAAGGTCCCCCGTATAGCCTCAACAGACTGCTAGGGGCAAGTGCTGTTAGCGAGTTCCTATTAAAGACCTACACACACGCACAGACAAAGGTCCCCCGTATAGCCTCAACACACTGTTAGGGGGCAAGTGCTGTTAGCGAGCTCCTATTAAAGACCTACACACGCACAGACAAAGGTCCCCCATATAGCCTCAACACACTGCTGGGGCAAGTGCTGTGACGGCACACGTGGCTACTGACCTTTGAGTTACCGCCGGTGACGTTTAAAACCCCGGTTAGACTCCAGGTGCAGCAGGCTGTTGCTGCTGCTGATGATGATGATGCTGCTGCTGATGATGCTGCTGCTGATGATGATGCTGATGCTATTGCTGATGATGCTGCCTCTGGATGGACGTCTCAGGCCGGGTTCACAATGGGTCAGCTGCGAGGGGGTGGAGACAGGCGGGGATGGGTGCGGCTGCTGTTGGTGAACGCGGAACGCGCGCGGAGAGGACTCTTGTCCCCCCGAGGGGAATTCTATCCGACCCCCACGCCCACACAACCCCACACACCCACCCACTCACTCCCCACCCACCCACCTACTCAGCCACCCACCCACTCACCTACTCACCCACCGACACACACAGACTCAGTCACACACACACACCCACTCACCCACCCACTCACTCACCCACCCACTCACCCACTCACCCACCCACTCACCCACCCACTCACTCACCCACCCACACACTCACCCACCCACCCACTCACTCACCCACCCACACACTCACCCACCCACCCACTCACTCACTCACCCACCCACACACACACAGACTCAGTCACACACACACCCACTCACCCACCCACTCACTCACCCACCCACTCACCCACTCACCCACCCACTCACCCACTCACCCACCCACTCACTCACCCACCCACCCACTCACTCACCAACCCACACAACCGCTCACCCGCCCACTCACCCATCCACCCACTCACCCACCCACACACTCACCCACCCACTCCCCCACTCACTCACTCACCCACCCACTCACTCACCCACCCACTCACCCACTCACCCACCCACTCCCCCACTCACTCACCCACTCACACACCCACTCACCCACCCACTCACTCACCCACCCACTCACCCACTCACCCACCCACTCACCCACTCACCCACCCACTCACTCACCCACCCACTCACCCACTCACCCACCCACTCACCCACTCACTCACTCCCCCACTCACTCCCCACCAACCCACTCACCCACCCATCCACCCACTCACCCACCCACACACTCACCCACGCACTCACTCACTCACTCACCCACCCACCCACTCACTCACTCACCCACCCACCCACTCACTCACTCCCCACCCACCCACCCACTCACTCACCAACCCACACAACCGCTCACCCGCCCACTCACCCATCCACCCACTCACCCACCCACACACTCACCCACGCACTCACTCACTCACTCACCCACCCACTCACTCACTCACCCACCCACCCACTCACTCACTCCCCACCCACCCACCCACTCACTCACCCACCCACCCACTCACTCATTCACCCACCCACCCACTCACTCACCCACCCACTCACCCACTCACCCACCCACTCACCCACTCACTTACTCCCCCACTCACTCCCCACCAACCCACTCACCCACCCACCCATCCACCCACTCACTAACCCACACAACCGCTCACCCGCCCACTCACCCATCCACCCACTCACCCATACACCCACTCACCCACTTACTCACTCACCCACTCACCCACCCACTCACCCACTCACTCACCCACTCACCCACTCACTCACCCACTCACCCACCCACTCACCCACCCACCCACCCACTCACCCACTCACCCACCCACCCACTCACCCACCCACCCACCCACTCACCCACTCACTCACCCACTCACTCCCCCACTCACCCACTCACCCACCCACTCATTCACTCACCCACCCACTCACTCCCCCACTCACCCACTCACCCACCCACTCACCCACTCACTTCACCCACCCACTCACTCCCCCACTCACCTACCTAATCACACAGACACAGGTAAAGCTCCCCCAGGTAGCCCACACACACACAGGGCTGTAGGGGCAAGTCACAGTGACAAACACGAGGGGGTGGGTGGCCACCATCACCACCACGCCCGGCCGCCTTTGTCTCCCCCAGTGCTGGCGATTTGTACTGCCACACGCACAGCACCAGTTTACTCATTTGAGGCTGAGTCGACCTAGAGGAGGCCCAAGACCGGTTCAGATAATCGTCACAGACACACACACACAGACACACACAGACACATACACAGACACACACACACAGACACACACAGACTCACACACAGACATACACAGACACACAGACTCACACACAGACATACACAGACACACACACACAGACACACACACAGATACAGACTCACAGACACACAAAGAAATACACACAGACACATACACACACAGACACATACACGCAGACACACACACAGACATACACAGACACACACACAGACACACACACAGACTCACAGACACACACAGACACACACACAGACACACACAAACACAACAACAACAACCGCCATTCGCCACTAAGTGGCGGTGACGTCACCACGACGCTTGTGCCAGGCTATGTGCACCCTGAGGCCACGTGAAGTGTCGAACGCCCGCTGGCAGGTGGTCACGGGGCAGACCCAGGTGCCACGGGTCGACTGACTGAGATGACTGGCTGATGCACCACCTGTGCCCCCTACTGTGCCAACCTGCTGTGCTTTAGCCACCCGGCGCTCCGCTCGCTGTTGTGAGCGTCGCTCCTCCGCCCTCCGTTGTTGTTGGAGGGCGACTGCCTCCAACTGCCCAGTAGCATCCTTCACGAGCCTCCTCCACAGAGGCCGATCTTGACACCGCTGGTACCAGTCATCGGCAAGTCCACTCAGCTCCACGTCCGCCTGTACCACATCACTCCATCTCTTCTCTAGCCCGTGCCGCGCCCGCTTAGCCCCCTCAATCCGGTCAAACAAAAGCTGTTTCGGCATGCGGTGGCTGGGCATGCGGGCTACATGACCCAGCCATCGCAGCCCTGCCTGCCGGAGGAGCTCACCGATGGGACCCTGCCCAGATCTTTCAAGGATTTGTGAGCTCCTCACACAATCCAGTCTGGTTAAACCCAGGATGGATCGTAGGCAGGCCAGCCTAACCGGCGAAGATGTTCCATTAGGGGGGTCCACGTTTCGCAAGCGTAGAGAAGGGAGGGAATGACCGTGGCCGAGAAGACCTGAAGCTTAGTGCGGAGCGACAGACCAGGTAGCTTCCACACAGCGTTACGCAACCGATGAAAAGATATTGCCGCTCGACTGATTCGGAGTGAGACCTCTGCTGTTAAACTGGAGCCAGTCATAAGCACACTGCCCAGGTATGGGAAACTCTCCACTCTCTCCACAATTGCCCCATCACCGATTGGGAGTTGTGGGGGTGGAGTGTCCGATGGTACAAAATACCCAGGCAGGTGCTTAGTTTTGGTGGGGCTGATGGTAAGGCCCCACCTCTTAGTGGCACGCTCCAGTCTCAGCAGCAGCGTCTCCAACTCCTCCTCTGACTGAGCAGCTATTACCAAGTCATCAGCATACATAACGTGGTTGAGCAATAGGGAGCCATCCCTTGACCGCACCCGGGCATCGATTAGCCTCCCATTATATCTGTACCATATGGAGATTCCCCCGGTACAGCTATTGAAGGCTTCACGAACTACGTGGTCAAAATAGATGTTAAATAATGTGGGAGCCAGAGGACATCCCTGTCGCACCCCAAGGTGTACAGGGAATGGCTCTGACTCCCGGCCACGTAGTTTTACCCGGGCCCGCTCACCATCATGAAGGTCCTTAATGATCGTGAGCAGAGGATCAGGTACTCCAAAAGCACGAAGAACGACCCAGAGCCCAGGCCTACTGATGGTATCATAGGCCTTGACCAGGTCAATAAAGCAGAGATGTAGGTCTTGTTGGAATTCCCTACACCTCTGCTGTAGCAGACGGACAGAAAATATGGCATCTGTGCAGGACCGCCCTTTCCTGAAACCGCATTGGGGCTCCGCAAGCCTCTCCTCAGCGTGCCTGGCAAGGCGATGCTGAATAATCCTTGCCAGGACCTTTCCCGGCGCACTGAGGAGTGAGATGCCCCTGTAGTTGTTACAGTCTGTGCGGTCCCCCTTCTTAAAAAGGGGGACCACCAGGGCATCCTTCCAATCCTGCGGAACCCGTCCGGTGGTCCAGACTGTTGTTATGATGTCATATAGGGCAGTCTGTGCACAAACGCCACCCTCCCTCAGCATTTCGCTTGGGAGATCATCTCTGCCCGCTGCCTTTCCTGGTCTCAGACTTTAATCAATTAATTACCACGAAACCACCAATTAAACACAGACACACACACAGACACACGCACACAGACACACACACAGACACACACACACAGACAGACTCACACTGAGCTGCTGTGTACTGATGATGACGACACATCTAATATGCAAACGAATGTTCACTCTCCTTTGCATAACATGACCTAATACAGGAAGTAATACGATGTAGAGCGGTGGTGCAGTGGTTAGCGCACTGTGTGTGTGAGTGGGGAGCGGTGGTGCAGTGGTTAGCGCACTGTGTGTGTGTGAGTGCGGAGCGGTGGTGCAGTGGTTAGCGCACTGTGTGTGTGTGTGTCGGGGGAGTGGTCGTGCAGTGGTTAGCGCACTGTGTGTGTGTGTGAGTGGGGAGCGGTGGTGCAGTGGTTAGCGCATTGTGTGTGTGTGAGTGGGGAGCGGTGGTGCAGTGGTTAGCGCACTGTGTGTGTGTCGGGGGAATGGTCGTGCAGTGGTTAGTGCACTGTGTGTGTGTGAGTGGGGAGCGGTGGTGCAGTGGTTAGCGCATTGTGTGTGTGTGAGTGGGGAGCGGCGGTGCAGTGGTTAGCGCACTGTGTGTGTGTGAGTGGGGAGCGGTGGTGCAGTGGTTAGCGCACTGTGTGTGTGTATGGGGGAATAGTGGTGCAGTGGTTAGCGCACTGTGTGTGGGGAGTGGTGGTGCAGTGGTTAGCGCACTGTGTGTGTGTGGGGAGCGGTGGTACAGTGATGGTGAAGATGGTGATGATGGTGATGATGTTGATGGTGGTGATGATGGTGGTGATGATTATGGTGATAATGGTGATGATGGTGGTGATGATAGTGATGATGACGGTGATGATGGTGGTGATGGTGATGATGGTGATGATGATGGTGGTGATGGTGATGATGGTGGTGATGATGGTGGTGATGATGGTGGTGATGATGACGGTGATGATGGTGGTGATGGTGATGATGGTGATGATGATGGTGGTGATGGTGATGATGGTGGTGATGATGGTGGTGATGATGATGGTGATGATGGTGATGATGGTGGTGGTGATCGTGATGATGATGGTGATGATGATGACGGTGATGATGGTGGTGATGGTGATGATGGTGATGATGATGG